CACAGAAAGAGTAGTCAGACATTGGAATAGGCTGCCCAGTGATGTGGTTGAGTCACCATCCCTGGATGTGTTTAAAGGTCATTTAGATGTGGTGTTGGGGGATATGGGTTAGGGATGAGTTTTACAGAGTAGGGTTAATGGTTGGACTCAATGACCCCAAGGGTCTTTTCCAACCTGAATGATTCTGTGATTTTACGACTTCTTTACCATCAAAGCCAAGACTGAAGGAAAAGCTTTTGATTTAAAAATATGTTTCATCTTTAACAACTTGTTGGCTTTCAACTGCTCATGAATGAAATGTGAATGTGACTCGGAATTGAATGCTGCTGATAGTTTGAAGGAAAAACATTCTTTTGCTCTATATGGCCTTTGATTCTTTGACAAGCTGTTGAACATCCTTGTTTTTCTTGTGGAGAGGGAATTGCTGAAAGTCATTGCTTTTGATCGTTAAATACCTTTGTTTTTTTACAGGAAGACTTACCATGGATTGATGTATTACTCTGCTCTCCGAGTCTACCTGAAACTTGAGTTCTTTTTTTGGGCTAAATTGACAATCCTTGATTTCTTACCCAATTTCAAATGCAAATTGTTAACATTCAGGCTACAAGTCCCAGAGAGTTATTCTGTGATTTACGAAGCACAGGAGCTCTGCAGTCTATCGAGGAGAGGCAGGATCCTAGCTGAGGTCTGGGGCACATCTCAGGTTCTCAGTAGGTGGCTGATTTTCCTCAGGAAAAAATGTTCTGAGCTTTGAAGGGTAAAACAACTGAAGACAAATGTATTTAATTCAAAGGAAAAGATAATCGTGTTTATGTCAAGAAAGGTTTGGGTTTTTTTTCATTTTAGCGAGAGTAATGGTGGTAAACACTCGCACAACCATGTGTTTCCCCCTAGTGTCTCCTCAGTAGAGACTTGTGAACCCCCATAGCCTTTGTTTCCCTTCCATTTAACCTTCTGGAATATCTGAAAAATTCAGCATACGAAACTCTTGCTTTAAATAATTCCTGTGTTCTTGATAGAAGAGAAACAGAAATGTTTTTCTAGCATCAGTTTATTCTAAACTGGACTTAAAGACTGAAGAAAAAACCAAAACATGCCCAACATTACTTACCTCTATGAAATAGTGAGAGTGGCATAGACAAGAACATGACTTTGGTGAATCTTTGAATTATAATTGTAAGGACTGTCAATAGTAGCTCGAACTGAAATTGATGATTGACCACAAAATTCAGTACATGTGCTTTGCAGGTAGATATTGAAAAAAAAAAAATCTGTGGTAGGCACAAGTTTTAATTTAAAATTATAGAGATATTTCTCAAATATATGCAGAATTCATGAATAAAATGTGAACTATTTTTCTGGTACAGCAATGTGCTTAGAAGGCTGTAGCTAAAGGAATTTGTTAGAAAGTTTTACCTTGTGGCAACTGAGGGATGTGTTGAAAAAGAAAGCTGATGACTTAAAGCCAGAATCCATGTGAAATAATGGTAAAAGTATTAACAAAGCAATGGGATGAGCATTGCTGTAGTCAAATTCTCATGTACTGTTTTTCAAAATGTATATGCAAAATTCTTCCTCTATTAATTTTAAGGCAATTGAGATAGATGTTTGGGGGGGGGTTGTGTGTGTGTTGTTTGGTGGGCTGCTTGGTTTTTTTGGTTTTTGTTTTTAATCATTATTATTTGTCACTTGTCGTGGTTCAAGCCGAGTGGGATAAAGAACCACACAGTCTTCACCTCACTTCTCCTCCCAGCCCCACTTCTCACAGTGATGTGAAGGGAGACAATTTCAACTAAAGAGGCTCAAGGGTCTGAGATTAAGGATAGGGAGGGTAATAATCTGCCATTTAAGATGACAGGTAAAGAACCAGAGTAACTTGAGAAGAATAGATTTAATTCACCAACACCATTTATGAGGTAAGAAAGCAAGAGGAATACATCACTAAATATGACTCAGTCTTAAATACCTTTCGTGCCCGCACCCCTCAACATCTTCCTGGCTACCTTCTTCCCCGCTGTCTATGCAAGGCAGGCAGGGGGTGCATGATGCAGTCCATCTGGCCACTTCCCATTGTCTGTGGCATCTCCTCCTTGAGAAAGAGGCCTCCTTGCAGTCTCTCCTTCATGCCGAGTGGTGTCTGCCTCACAGAAGGCAATCCTCTTCCTCCTCGCAAGTCCCTCAGGGCCATAGGTTGCTTTGGGCGTGTCCCCCACTGATGGTCTCTCTCCCCTCTGGCATGGAGCTCCGCACGTACCGCCGCATGCTGGACACTCTCACAACTGTCAGTCCCCTCAGCTGGCAGGCAATCACCTTCCTGCCATCTCAGCCACCACAGGGCTCCAGAGAAAGGTCCTGCTCCAGCAGCCACCTTCTCCTTGAGCACTCTTCTCCCCCTCTTTCTTCTCAGAGACTCTTCTCTCCCTCTTTCTACTCAGGGGAATGTTCCTTTGTTCTCCTCTCACCTCCTCCTCCTCCAACAGAAAAAACTCCTCAACATTAAAGACAGGACAGCTCAACCCAAGGTAAAACCAAAAAAGAAAGAAAGAACAATGGGATCGCCTCTTAAATACCTTGATCACAGAGGCACTAACTGGCCCGGCCCTAGCCAGAGTCAGGTCCAACTCTACCTGGGAGGGGAGGGAGTCTCTGAGTCTACCCTGACTTTTTTTTTTTACAAAAAATCCCGTCAGACTCAAACCCATGACACCACTATAGTCTTGGATAACACCTACACTGCTTTTGAAAACTGTAATGATCCTGGTGACCTCTCCGAGGTATTACTGCCACTAGGGAGTCTGATTCTATTCTGGGATGAAAAACTCCAGTTTTCACTCCAGGCAGTGAAAACTGAAAAATAAAACAATCTAAAAAAGGCAAAATAGAAAAAAGAAGATCAGTGAGACTTGGTAAACTGTTTGCTTGGACATAAGAGTATCCTCTCTTCCACATAATGTTTTTCTTCGCTTGTGTCAAGGTAAGAGGTGATGGTCCATCACTGTTTATGCCACACCTGCTGAGGGATGAGTTTAGGGAACATCAAAATGAGCAGTGATGATATTCTTATCTGAGAAAGTTGTTCTTTATGCCTCCATTTCCGAGGAGTCGGGATCTGATTGCACCCAGGGACGGCTGTTGGTGACAACGACAGCAAGGGCTGCCAACTTCTTCCTGGCCACAATCAGGGACAACGTGACATACAGAGCAGTGCCCAGATCTTTGATCCAGATAAACCAGGAATTGGGGGCCTGTAGGATAAGGCAGAGCTCCTGCCAGTGTCATCTTTTTTCTACACTGCTCTCCTACATACATACCCAGTTATTTCAGGTACAGCATTTCCATAAGTACACCTGGAAGACAATTTTTTTAAGAGTCTTTGTGATTTCCTTTTTTTTTTCCAGTTCTGTTTTGACACAAAAATAGTAATGGCTCCCCTCATGAGTCACTCTAAGTAATAGACAGGTGAATGGGACACCTTTAAAAAGAATTCATAATTCCTTCTAATAGCAAAGATGGAATTTGGAGTTTGAGATTCATTTTTACCATTATAGTCCTAATTAAAAAAGAAAATTAGTTTCTCAATATCATAGCATAATTTTACTCTTGCATAGAGAACATGTATATTTTTAAATACTGGGAAGGTTGAGGGGAAGGCTTATTGAGAAATCTGTTAAGAGTTTAGAAAAAGTAATTTTCTTGCTGAGAAGTTAGTGTGTATCAGACTTGCAGAATCTGCTTTGTGTAAAAACCATTTTGTTCAAAGTGTGTGTGAAAAACTGCTTATTTAAAGCAAGTAAAATAATTTTGAAGTTTCCGTTTCTTAGACCTTCCTGACAAAACCAATTTTTCTCCTAAGGATAACTTAATTCAAAGCAAATTGTATTTGGTGACTAGTATAATTTTGGAGCCCTATGCTTTACAGCACATTAATAGCCAAATAATGTAAATTTTATTTTTAATTATAAAAATTATGAATAAGCAAGTGATAATTCTGCCTACTAATTTTAACTCTGATGCAACATCATTTGTAGAAAAAAAGTGTTATTCAGATAAATGTGTGAAATGCAAGAGAGAATGATCCTCCTGATATTTTCAGGATTCAGTCCTGAAAAGTTATAAAATTAGACATTTTTAACTCAAAAGTCTTATCTTGTTGTTAAGTTGGGGTTTGGTGGGTTTTTTATGATCTAGAGTTGAGGCATTTCCCTGCCCATGTTCCTTCAGCAACCCCAACTAGCATGTGCCAAGAACATCAAGCTCATTTGCGGATGTGGAGGTGGTGGTAGTGTCACCTTCTCCAAAACCTCCAAGAGCTCACACCTGGGAAGAAGTAAGACCAAGGCTCGCCATCCTGCTCTCTGACTATGTCCTCATGTTTGGGCACGAACTTTC